CAGTAGCAGCTGGTCGTGTCATCTCCCGTGTTAGTCACCACCCACACACAAAACCTTGACTGTCTGGTGGTGCCTGTCTGCTGCCCTGCCATTTATTTTTCCCTACGCTCGAAAGACAATACACAGGGGCAATGAAACTTACAGCCGCACCACAAGCCACGCCACCCGACGCACTCATTTTATCGGAGAAAAAAATGTCATGTCCGGTCATCCCAATGTCAATGAAAGGACAAAAGCCACACGCTTACAGTACATCCAACACCCAAAACCAACCCACTACCCGCGTCGAAATTCAAAGACACCGCGGATCCCACAAACTAGTCTGCAGATCCATAAGAAATGATATAGGATCCCTTTACATCTGCTAGGGACTTTCGGTCTTGATCCTCTTGCCGCCCCTTCCCAACTCGTCGAAATTCTTTACTCTAGTCTGCCTTTTACTCTTCGAAGAATGAAGCGGCGGGTCTTGAAACCTTCCCTTGTACGACGTCCTCCCTTCCTCGTCAAACGAACCTAGCTCTACCTTATCTAGGCTCCACGTGTCTACACTGTTAGGACGCCACCGAGGGTGGATGAATTCACCCTTGAACTCGGAAGCGCGATCCAACTCTGTGACAAGTGCGGCAAGGACATGCCTACACTGCAGCCCCCGCCTCATGAGCTGCAAACACGCACACAGCTGAAAGCCGTCTGGACCTATGACTACGAGGTGGCCGACCTTGCGCCGTTTGTATACTACTTTGACAACGGCATCCCCCATATATATGTCGACGTGGGCAACAAGCCGATAAAATGATTGCAAACACGTGGTACCAAACATGGACGTGTCAGGATGTTTTTTCCCGTCGAAGACATCAGCGGGTACCTGACAGCATACATCTCCGTTTCCATCATTGTTGGATGGCTGTGCAGCCAGGTCTTCGAGGAACCGTTTTGACTCTCGTCCCTTCACTAGGACGGTGGTGTCATACGAGTCACTTGCAACCATCTCGGCCATGATTTCCTGGTCGGCGTCGGGAAAAAGGACGACACGAAACCGAACGAAACGGTTATGGACTCTCGGTGGGCAGGTACACTAGCCTGCCTTTTTGAAGCTATCGTCAAGTTCATATATTAGAGATGCTATCGCGGCGCTTACCCGTCGAGCGTAGGTGCTGGCTCCTGCTTTCTCGTATTCTTTCATGACGGGTTCGATGGCTTTCTTCACGTCGTCCTCCATGTGGGCAAATCGGAGGGAGCCCGCCTTGGTGCTTAGCCTGCACGGAGACAAACAGCGCACGGCAGTGATGCTGGTGATGGTGAAAGAAGCTGGCTCAACAGTATGCGAAACACCACGCAAGAGTCCGTACATGCCAATACAATGGATCAGTATGAAAATATGATACAAGGCAACACGCGCTTTTACCCCCCTGGACACCCACATTCTTGATGCCAGCGCGAGATCCTCAGCAACAGTTTCCACCCTTTTCCTTACTGCGCCAAAGGTGGAGTTCTTCCTGACGGCACCACCGTTCTTGATAACGCTGAAACTGCCCTCCACACGCTGCGAGGCTGTCATGCCCAGGGTCATGGTCGTCGGATGACAGCAGCGTGCCCAGTGCTTACGTTGGCTGGAGAAACAAGTGCGGTATCGGGTGTTGCGGAAGAAGAAATAGCATGCTTTCACAATTGGACGAGCTCGTCCAAAATATATCAAAGTCCACTCACTCGAATAGGTAGCCGTTGATGTACTCCTCGCAGGGTGTGCCCTCCACAACCTCCTTCAGATTATTCCAAATGCGTTCGAATGCCTGCGGACGGGGTCCGGAAGGTGTCAAGTAAGTGGCAAGTGGAACCTCGAACACAGAAGTTTGTACCTACGTCAATACACGCGGTATCGTTAGTGACCCACCTTCATCGATGTCGCGAATGACGCCGCCGTATACCGCCTGATCACATCGGCAAATACCTCTCCCCCGCACTTTCTCTTCAAATTCTTGGAGATATGCCACGAGCTGTACAGATGCTTGGTGTGGGGCATAAGTTCAGCAACCGAACTCGTCATGGCAGCGTCGGCGTCTGTAATGATGACCTGTGGGGGGTGGGGGGTGGGGGGGGTGGGCAGCAGGTGATGACTACTAACGGCCTGTTAAGGCGAGAAGACATGCATGGCACTATTTCGTTCTATATTCGGACTACAACGCGAACTATTTTTCACGGAGACGACTTCTAGTCACGACCTTATTCGCTCACCTTTGGGTGCCCCCGCGAATTTCGAGGAGGAATCTGTTCGCAAAGTCAAACGATGATATCTGCTCGTTGCTCAGTAAACCTTGCGCGAAAATACCCGTCTTGTTCTCCGAGTCGACACCCACGAACAAGCAGAGCTTGAAGTCGTACCTGCGTCAATTGGCAACGGGTTATGTTCACCAAATGATACCGCCGAATGCTGAGCGAGGTGATACACGCAATTTTCACTACTCTCACTGACCAACGCACCTGTTAATAAGGCATGTGTTGTCTTGGATGACAATACCGCCATATGTTCTCGCGAGCATGATTTGTTCTGGTGATGCCCACATGATAGACCGCAAGACGTGGTTGGCGTCGGATTCCCATTTCACCGTCGCTGGTCCCCTTTCCAGATCCGCCACGAGTTCAAGAGCGTCCGTCTTCGACGCCCATCGCCCACGTGATACCTTGTCTGACATGTTCCTCACCTGACATGGAATAAAGAGCAGTATCGAACAAGGGGTACGTCCGAGGGATGCATGGGAAGGCCTCGAGCCGCACGACACACTGCAAAAAGTTGGGTCACGATCCGTCTGCGCCTAGTCAGTCGCAAGGACATGTGAAACGGAATTGGATGGACACGTTCAACCACTACGATTGATGACACGACGTAGCAAGTTCCAACTACAAGCAGGCGAGGACACAGAGGAATGAACCAGTACACCACCACCGCCCCCAACAAAATCACCTTTCGCACACCCCGCGTGCCGAGCTTGCGGGGCTTGATGTTCTCCCCAATGCACCGGTACATCGTGAATGGTCGGACACCGCCTAAGGTCATGCTTTTGATGTCATCCGCCCATTTTTCCAATTCTTCGAGCGGTACCACGCTGTCATCCTTGTGCTTCTTCGCAACGTGTTGCATCTCACAGTCGGCGTGGTGTTCAAGGTTGACCTGAACAGACGCCAGAAGTAGCACAAAACGCATTGTAGAAGTAACGTTATATGGAGAATGGGCCACCTCGACGGTGACACTGTTTGATTTTTATCATTCCCGAAAAAAACAAAATGTATCACCCGGATGATGGTTGAGTCTGTCCTTTACCCCTTGTGCGGCACCAACGTCGAGGACAAGGTTAAGCAATCGACACTAATGATTTGCACCTAAGGCCACTAGGTAGCGCGGTTGTAGGTCAATCAATGCCGTCACCTTTTGGATGGTTGGGGGGTCCTTCGTATTCCAAGAAACGCAAACTTGGAAGTTGCACCCGACCTGGAACGCAAGCGAAGAGAATATCGAGCATGACACTGTTGGGGTGGAGATCACTAGGGAAGTAACAAGAAGAGGGTCTTGCGCGCAGATTCGCAAGCACATGTAGGTAGTGCCCTGCAGTGTCACCCGGAGATACCAAAGGAGTCACCGGCACATTTTCACACAAGCCAAAAACAAAAAACGTGTTGGAGAGTGAATACAGCCAAGCACAGGGGAATATGTTTGGGCTCGCACCTTCCGTGTCCATTGCGTCCTGACCCCGGCGTTCCTCTTCTTCCTAGAACTTCCGTGGGCGGAACACCGTATCTCGATCCTGCTACACCGACTCGTTGGACCTGCGACCTGTTCAATCGGACGTGTTGACCTTTCCTGTGCACGCAACCATGGCCCGCTGTCTTCGTGCTCTTCTACTGCCAACGACGAAAAATGTGCAACAAGAGACGCTCACGCACCTTTTTGCCCCTGACCGGCGTTGTTTTGCCCTTGAAACCCTGGCGATGAAGCTCGCTCTCGACTCTGCGCACAACCGAGTCCCACGTGTCTTCTGCGCTGTCTTTCTCAAGGAACGTGAAGCCAGTCTCGAGGCTGACCGGACCGTGGCTTTCCCTTTCATCGCCTTTTTCACCTGCCGCGGAATAAGGGGAACACGGCAGTTTGGGCACCGCCCTCATACAGAGGAAACCGCGTCCCTCGTACCGAGGGCATGATGATGGCTATGAAGAACTACTTCAAGTCGTACCGACCTTGGTCATGTGACCTCCAAGGGATTCCTGTCCTCGTACGTGCCTACCCACCTGGCCACCACCTGACCACCCATTATTGCACTGTGTCTAACTTAGTTGCGAAATGCCGACCCAAATGAACACCTATGTCGCGGAAATCGTGCTGGCTAATAAAGGTATTTCAACTTTCAAGCACAAGTACGTTATCAGTATCGCCCGACGACGTGTGGTAGTGCCTGCACCAACCTTCGCTGTCGGGCGCATCGGACAATGACTCTTCTCCACTGTCCCAATCTGCCCAGCCTGTGGAATCGTAGGGATCTTCCAGCCCGCCATCGATGTCCATCGTGTCGAAACCTTCGTATTCCTGTTCGCACGCCCGGATATACACTTTGTCATCGTCGGTACACCAGGGTGTAGGAGGGCGATCAATCGTACAACGGGCGGCGTCCAGCCCCCGCAGTGAAAATGAAAGAGGCTCACGCCGCCTTCCGCGTGATCGCACGTGATGTGGAGTAAACACGCCCTGCCCCCGCCTACCGTACATGGGGCACCCTCCGGGAGTGAAATTGAAAGAGACACACATGCCGGGTAAAGCAGTACTTCAAGTGACGGGGGACGTACTGCCTTCGTCTACCGTACAACGGGCGGCGTTCAGCCACTGCGAGTAAAAATGGCACAAGCCGCCTTCCGCGTGATCGCACGTGATGTGGAGTAAACACGCGCTGCCCCCGCCTACCGTACATGGGGCAATGTTCACCCTCCGGGAGTGAAATTGAAAGAGACACACATGCCGGGTTTCGCAGTACCGCAAGTGACATGAAGTGAGGACATAGTACCACAAGTGATGTGAATTGAGGACGTTCTCCACCCGTCTACCGTACAGCGGGCGATGTTCACCCTCAATGAGTGAAAAGGAAGAGACTCATGCGTCGTTTCGCAGTTCCGCACGTGATGTGGCGTGAGCTCGTCTTGTTCTTGTCTACGGTACAATCGGCGTTCGCCCACCGCAAGTGAACATGAAGCGATACGGGCGTTCGACGGTATCCCACCCAAGATATCTGCCTCTGCTGAGAACCTCTGCTGAAATTTCAACACTACTACGAGTAAGGGAAAGGAGGAAAAAAACACCTCTAGCTTTGTCCGCGCCAGACGTGCGACGCCATTCGCACATCGACCTCACCAACAACAATGCATAAATACAACTACAAGTACGTAGCCACTAACCTCCTGCATGGAACGGTCCGCGTTCTTGTATTTCTTCCACGCTTCGACTGCCGCGGTTCTTGTCGTTTGTGTCTCATTGATGGAGGCCTCGGCAGCCTCTCCGTCCTCTCTTGTGCTGCTGTTCAAGGCGTCTGAGATCTGCACGCAACGTGACCAAGCAGGGAGATTCATCGAGTACGACGCGCAGTTATCCCTAAACAGGTATAGTGAATATATCGAAACATGCGTGCAAGCAGATGATACATTTTCGATCACACTGCGAGTATATATCACAAGGCAAACCCATTAAACCAATAGCGCTCGGGAAGTACACCAAGATCCCTCACCTTCAAAAGGGTGTTGTATGTCCGCTTTGCCCCCATCGCGCCAGCTCTGCATACCAGGACGTGGCGCTTCTGCTTTTCATGACCCTGTGTCGCTGTTGTCACCGCCTTTTTTACAGCTGCCTCCACCTCCTCTTTGGTGCCTGCCTCATCTTTTAGCCCGGAAACGAGTTCGAATATTCACGCCGAAACATCAAAAGTCACGCGTAACAGAGGCATGCAAACAAGTGTTGCTGAAATTCCGCGAAGAACGTAGCTGCCTCCAGAAAGACCGTGAGAGAACACGACTTCAGTAAAGTTGTATCGGACGATCGTTCGCCCTGGCAGCTTGTTCGATGACGAATGTAGAATTCTAACCTTCATCTGAAGACAGTTCGTCGGTGCTCAACCAGTCGTCGCCCATGCAGCCACTGCGCGTGCTCGAGTCGCTGTCCAAGTCAAAGTCGCTGTTGTCTTCACAGCTGACATCCACAGGTATGCCAGCGCGCAACTGACACGCGCAGGAAATTACAGGAAATGACCAGGAACACAGAACACAAAAACATATTTCTCGAAACCGAAGCTGCTACCGCGACGCTGCTTCCATGCACAGTAAAGGCGGCCGAGCACTCTTTAAGGGCGTGCATCTCAAAGGAAGCGTAAACACATGCACAAGACGAGACGTACTGCGCCCTATAACTATATGATTTCCGCTCACGATGGTAGACCCTGCTCCCAATCCTGACCCGTGACTCCGTGTCGGGAAGTACCTGCTGATCGTTTGGGTCGCGGCGCATCTCCGGCACCAATCATGAACGGTCGCGTGCTTGAAAAAAATTGTTGTGCATTTGGTTCGACGGACCTATTGTCAGGGACTAACCATGAGCGCGATCACCTCGTGCAGCGCGCGGAACGAGTTTGTACCCTCCACCGGTACTGAGCAACGGTCCATGCCTCTCGACTGGTACTCCCATTCCGATACATCCCGAAAGCAAGGTACTATAGGCGCACTCGCTGGTGGTTTCGCTGGTGGTTTGCTCTTCGACCTTTACATCGAAACAATGACAAAATGCAACTCACCTTTCGTATCCTGCGCGAGATCCTCGATGTTGCAGCCACAGCCTTGTCGTACTTCCGTCGTGCAACCGCTGCGGCGACTCTACCTGCCTTTAGGGTCCTATTCAACATGGTCAAGGCGGCCGTGTAGTCATTCTGCGCGCTTCGGGCGTCCTTGTCCCGTAGATACTGGGCGTGTGCGCTTTCCTGGGCAATATCAAGAATGCAGAGTACAAATTTCATGACAATTTTCCTCATGCCCAACACACTAGCAGAGGTATTGCTCCCCAACCCAAGGGAGACGGACGAGCGACGCGTACGAGCTTAATTTTTCAACGATCAGCCGGCCACATATCCCCGAGGTCACTTACTGCCTTCAGCCGGACGTATCTCGCCTTGAACTTCTTGGCAATGGATCTGGCCTCCACCTCTCTTTTCGTCACGGCCTCGAGTTCCTCTTCCTGTAGGGGGTGACGACGCAGAGCAACGATGCCACAATTGGATATACGGCGTGTCCTCACTGCGCCAAATATCGCTATAGAAGCCTAACACTTTCGTCGGGTTTGCAATGTAGACAACTCAACAGCATACGTATCTATACTTGTATCATGTCCACCAACCTTGGCCTGAAGACTTGTTTGGCGACCAGCGCCCGCAGCGCCAGTCATGCCCGACTCATCCTCCATCCCGGCCCCCTCTACACCACCCTTCTACCCTGTCGGCACCTCCTCCACCTTTCCTAGACCTTCGTTGGCTCCCTCTCCCTTCCCCTCTCCCTCGCCTCTCTTTGTTACGTCTCCTTCCTCCACACCTCCGCCTGAGCCCGCCTGCTTGCCTGCTTCCACTCCCTCTCCCGCGGCTTCCACTCTCCCTACCCCCATGCCACCACCCTGCGCTTCCCCCTCCCGAAGATTCTCACTTTCCTTGCGACGCTTTTCATCGTCGTCCTTACGTCGATTCTCCTTCTCCTCCTCCTTGCGCTGTTCAACCCGCCTTGCTTCCGCAATTTGCACTATCTCCAACCGCAAGCGTTCAGCGTCTCTCGCTTGCTTCGCCTGCCGCCTGGTCTTAGCAGCCTCCTCCGCCGCATTTATTGCGGCCGCTGCAAATAAATGCCGAACCGGGCTGCACTCCTAGACTCGCCTTGTACGTGGCTTGTTCAGCCTCGGATTCCCTGTTCAGAACTGCATCCTGCATACACGGATACACGGGTCGGAGTATCGTAACAGGCATATTGTAGGTGGGCGACAAAATACATGCGTCTCAGGTGCAGACCACTAACATGTGCAGCTCGCCAGCTTCACCGCCTTCCTTCAACTTGGCAGGCATCCTACTCTTTCGGCAGCGACTCACCAGCGCTTGGAATAACGGGGGTGCCGCTCTCACGAGAGGAAACGGAGGGGTCGAGCGGTCCTTCTTCGAGACCGCAGCGAAGTGGACACCTCGAGGGCACGCGGTCGACTTCGTCACCTCGACGAGGTTGTCCAGCTCTCCTACGCTTGCTTGACCGGTACAGGACGTCAAAACAACAGTGGCCTCCGCAACCATGCGCCCCCCCCCTTGAATGTGCAAACAGGACACTGCGTCATCGGCGAGAAAGGTCTGAGAGAGGCGGGTGTCGTCCACCTTGTCGCCTTTCCTTCCCGCACCGCGAATTGTCCCAGGCGTCGCCGAAGACTCATCACGTTTACGCACCATCACATCGTTCGGGCTCAACAGCTTCACCGTTATCTTTAGAGCTTGGGACGCCAGCAGCAACGTAAAGTCACCACCCCACACAGTGTCCTCACAATCATATGCTACAGAAGCAAGTAACATTCTCGACGTCTGGGCGACCGAGGGCGCAGCGCCCACACAAGTGGCTGAGTAAGCGTAACCCAACCCCGCGTGGATGTCATCCGAGAAGTGCAGCGAGAAGTCGGACAGTACACGCCCTTCTGATACGAGCTCCTCGGCGTGCGCTGCTGCCCACGCAAGGACCACGAGCTTCAGTTGCGACCAGTACTCATCACTCTCCCACAAGCACTTCGCCAAAGAACGCCAACAGCAATTCCCATCTCCCCGTACCCACAAGGCTACCCATCCCTCCTTGCGCATCTTCTTCGGGATAGTGATGTTGGCTTGGCGATCGAAAACCTTATTTCCCAAAAGGGGTTCATACCCGTGCAGATAGAGTAATCAAGCGTTGAATCAGGCCATTAGACAAGTGGGGCCAGAGCATCAAGCGGGCCAAGCGGATGCACGTCACCCGACACATTGTCCCGGCTCTGTCGCGACTTTATGGAGGAACATGTGACTGCTCTAACAAGTGGCGTCATAGATCACGCGAGCCTTCTCGCCACACTTTGGCGCCCTGGCCAACAACTGTGTACGTATGCATACCCTTACTATTACTTCTGCCGAGACCAATCACCTACCCACGAAAGGACAAGATTGCAAGGTTAGGTTCTGTAGGGTACCCACAGATCTATACCGGGGGTAATTACCCTCTGTTTTACCCTACAGAACAATTCTGTGAGTTCTGTGCCCGTAGCGCCACAATACCCTACACTTCTGTGAGTTCTGTGACGGTTGCACCACAGTACCCTACACTTCTGTGAGTTCTGTAGCACATCCCGTACCCCACAGAGATTACCCTCCGGTTCTGTATGCCGGCGGCACAATTACCCGCGGTACGGGTAAACATTTGTGGAACTACCCTCCACATTTGTGATTACCCCGGGATGCTGACGTCAGTCCAACTTGAAGCGTACCCTCAAAAAACACCACACAACACACAGAGCAAGACCCTCCTTCAGCAGAGAAACAGAACACATCTGGTCGACGTGGTGAACAACACCGCGAACGACATTGGCGTGTAGACTGACTGTCGGGGGGGGGGGGGTTCAGGAGAGACCCCTCTTTGCTTCTCGCTACTGCTGTTGTGTTGGGAAAAAGTCGGATGGGAACGGAGTTTGCCCCTTGCCTGCTGGCGAGGAGTAGTCGTGGGGGCGCACCACGAAATCCTTTGCACTCAGGTTTTCAGTCTTGATCTTTTTTTCGTCGTGCAGGTTTTTCCCCCTCTGGGAAGTGGAGAGGGTAGAGGAAAACGTAACATAGTCTAAACGTGAAATGCTTTTTGTTTATGTTTATGTTTTTTTTTAGGCAGTAGTCCTCCGCTGTCACCTGGGAAGTTGAGGACTGGGATATATAGGGGCCGTACGCAAGCACGCTTCATGTTTTCAAGTCTTGGTTTAGTACCTTGAAACCGAGTCGAACGAAGGCAAACAGCAGTGTGCAAATACAGAGACTCGCGCGGGTACCGAGGGTAATGACCGTCTGTAGTTACCCTACAGATACCCTACAGAGCCTACCCTGTGAGTTCTGTGACGGTTGCACCACGGCACCCTACACTTCTGTGAGTTCTGTAGCACACACGGTACCCCACAGAGATTACCCTCTTGGTCTGTATACAATACCCTAACACTTCTGTGGGTTCTGTGACGGTCGTGCCGCAATACCCTACACTTCTGTGAGTTCTGTGACGGTTGCACCACAATACCCTACACTTCTGTGAGTTCTGTAGCACACCCGATACCCCACAGAGATTACCCTCTTGTTCTGTATACAATACCCCAACACTTCTGTGAGTTCTGTGACGGTCATGCCACAATACCCTACACTTCTGTGAGTTCTGTAGCACATCCCGTACCCTACAGAGATTACCCTCCGGTTCTGTAACAGATCCAATACCCCACAGACATTACCCGTACCCTACAGAACCGAACCTTGGAATATTGTATGTATGCTTTCTGTACACCGAAGACCCACGACGAGTGTAAAAATAATCATGCGAAAGAACGCTCATTCCTTTTCTTGACACCCCAGAGCGACTTGCCTTGTCCTTTGTATTGCCCCCAACAGATCGGCCCGTAACGTAGACCGTGCACCCATGCTGTCCGAGTGTCACCGCTATCCCCTTCCCGATGCCTCGTAGATCATCATCACCCCCAGCAGCAGCAGCAGCATCCGATGATGCCGCCATGCGCAGTGGAGCCAATGAGCGCCGGCGGCAGGTGCTGCAAATAGGATGCCTCTACTGGGTTGCCGCTGATGGTCTTGAGAGCACCGAGGTCGCGCTGTTGGTGGTGGTGGCGGTTGGTGGTGTCACCGTATAGAAGGCGCCTGTTTCTGGCGCGAGAAGGATCACCGTCGCCATGGCAATCCGACAAGGCTTTCGCAGCAGCAGCAGCATCGTCATGGAGCTTAGAGGGGCCGCGGCGAGGACCCTGGATGACAATGAGCAGCCTCACGCGTATGCTTTGGGCTACAGCCAGCAAGCGGGCAGCCTGTAAGACTCCTCCGCGGCAAGGAGTAGGTGGTACTGGCTGTACTTCCGCTGTGCGGGAGACAGAGCAGCTGCTGCGTGCAGCGGGTGTGCCGCTGTGCCGCCCGACCCGATGCCGCGTTCCGTGCAGATGCGCATGTTTAATTCCCCCGCATTTTCTATTTCGCCGCAATTTATGTGAGAGATCAGCTCGTCAGCTAGCTACTCCTGTGGTCTGCCCAGCTTGGCTCGCGGGAATGAAGGCCGTTCACAGCTGCGGTACAGATCTCCTTGTGCTCTTATTGGCTTTGTTTAGTACCGCGGAGGGGTGGGGCGCGATCGAAGTACACCATCTTTACCGCAACCGGGTGAGTACAACGAGAACGAGCTGTTGGTGCCGTCGAAGTGTGGACTGGACTCCACCAAGCGATCCGTCTACGGACCGGTCTACAGCATAGTCTAGTCTATAGACTACAGCAGTATTAGGAGAAACAAATATACACACAGAAAGACTACCCGTTCGAGGTATAACTACACTCGAAGGGGATGTGTTGAAGTCTTTACAGTGAGTAGAGGAAAACCAGCTGGGTACTTGACTTATTTCGAGTTTGTTTAAGCCTATACACTGATGATTTATATCAGTGATACCAGTTGGTGCTTAGCACAAAAACATCTGCGTAGGTACATTTACATGTGGCCTGCACAGGGAACACGGCGCAATATGTCATGTTGACAGTAGTTGCTGGTTTAATTTAGAAAAATACATATATTAGGAAAAACAAATAGTCTCTACACACAGCAGTATGCAGACTCTAAACCATAACCCACACCACAGCACAAGGCAGCTTGATAGTATGATGTGTTTCCTACTTTCCCTCGAACCATAGTCTAACCCACACCACAGCACAAGGCAGCTTGATAGTATGATGTGTTTCCTACTTTCCCTCGAACCTAATCAGTCCTAAACCGCACTCCATGCTACAGCACCAAACGGCCATGTGTCTGTAGTACCCTCAACTGGCGATCACGCAACAGCCGTTTGGTTGACGTTGCATTCCAAGGTCAGGCGTAGTTCTGTACAAGTAGGTGTCCTCGTTGATTCGCGCACGAATGGACCACAGCAGCAGCAGCAGCAGCAGCAGCAGCAGCAGCAGCAGCAGCAGCAATATCAGCAAGATGCATCCAAAAGCACAATGGCCACTAGACCACAAGTCAGCGCTGACTGTAGTGGTCTTGTGGTCATCGTGCTTTGCCTGTAGGTCAAACCTCCAAGGGCGAAGTGAACATCTCTGGAGCATGTTGCCTTGACCTTGACCTGCGGCTCTAGTCTAGCCCATGTGGTCTAGGCGTACACACTGCTGTCAGCCTATGCAGTCTAGGCGTAAAGTCCATTTCCGTAAGATTGTCAAGTGGGTGTCAAGCTCGACCTACTGCTGTACATAGCCCGGCTCAGCCAGGGCTCCGGGTGTTTGAAGTTTGGATGTTTGACCTTGCAGCTGGCTTTTGTGGGCAACAATATTTTGCTAGCTGTGGTACCAGGTACTTGTAAAACATGCAGAATCTTGACACAACTTCACCGTCAAACTATGGTACCTTTCGATTGTCTCTGCTGCTGTTGTGTTTCGTCCAATCCACAACTCGCACCGCACGCACGGCGCGTCAAAGTTTGCCTGTTCTGTATGTACCCCACGGGGAGAGACGTAACGCCCATGGCCGGCACACCTCGCATCTCTCGGCGTATCTAGACCACCCGGTGTACTTGCTTCGTTAATTGATTCCTTGGACAATTGATTCCTTCGTCAATTGATTCTTCCACGATTCTTCCGGCACAACTGCTCCGTGCTTGAAGGGCGATCCAACTACCCTCCGAGGAAAGCACCCCATCAACGGCATCACGGCTTGCGGAACAGCAGCAGGCGCAACAAAAAGCAAGCTCCCCCGGAATGCGATGCTTCTAAACAGCAGCAGCAGCAGCAGCCAAGGAAAGAGGGAGAGCGCCTTTACGACGGCAAGGTCGAGTCAGACAAGGAGGAGAGCGGGCCGACCAACAACAGGACGATGTATTCGCCCGTTTCCCAGACTCGAGCGATAAGAAAGCGTGGGTGCTGGTAATACCGCTGGAAGCTGGAGATGTCAAGGAGGTTGCGGAAGAGCTCGGCGCGCTCAACGCAGCACGTGAGAGCTGTCTCAATGAACATCTTTATTACAGCAGTAGTTCCCGCGCGGAATCAAGACGAGAAAATCAAGTACTGTCCGTTGAACCCCTCGTAGTAAGCTTCGGCGTTTGGAGACGGGAGCATGTTTTGAGTTTGTTGACCTGATACGGTTACATTGTTACGGTTGATAGGAGTTGCACCTTTGGGAGAATGCGTTATTCCCAACAGGTACTAGCAGTAAGGTCCGGTTTGCCGGGTCCCGTCTAGAGGCTAGGTTGCTCAGTCCCCTTGCCTTCACTTGACTTCTCCATGCTTCTTCTTCTTGCTTGCCCTAAGTTAGCAACAATGAACAAGCAAATACCGTATCCACGACCGGAGACCTTCTACTCCTTATCACAAGCCACCTTCGAGGCTCACTACTACCTTTGTTCCGGCTCACCTTCCGAACTCGGTACGGATCGAGAGGAAGCCAACATCAGGTCGGTAGCAGCGCTTGTAGGCTGGGGTCCCATGTACAATCCTCTCTGGACAATTCCTCTTGACACCCAGGGTCCTGCCACTTGAATGGCTAGAGACCACACAGACCCACATAGACATCGGACCAGCCCCTATCCCGAGCCTCTCCATCCGTTTTATGTTGTCCTTCCGTTCCGTTGCTGTCGACGAGCCGTTGATGCGCTCGTCATGCTGTAGCCGTGTGGCTTGTAGGCCCTTTCGCGTCCCTCTTTTTTTTTTTTCTCTTTCGCTTGCACGTTTTGGCGCTTTTCCCTTTCTTTCCTTATCATGCGCTCGCCCTTCAACGGCCTGTTCCCACAGATGTGCCCAGCTACTAGGACGTGGTGTGGGAGGACGACACCTCCTTCGAGTGGGACGTGCGACAAGTGCCGGAGACCACTGTCGTCGAGGGTTTCACCACTCGCGCGGTGGAATCTGCGGCTGTGGGGCCACAACCGCAGGACAGGCAGCTAGTGATGGTCTTGCCGACCGAGCGGTTTGATTTAGAGCAGGGAGCTGTAGTGGGAGTAACTCGTGCGGTAATGTGGTGGGTTCCAGGGTTGCCTGTTTACTGCAAGCTGGTGAACTGTAATAAGGAGAAGGTGGCAGTCGAGGGTAGCCGGGTGATAGCTTGCATGGTAGCACTCAATGTTTGCGACAAGCCGGCTTTCGATTCGCTGTTGACACCGCCCCCTCTGCTGCCGACCCACCCCTGCCTCCCCGTGGACCGCGCGCCCCGAGCCCGTCCCCACCTAATGGGACATCCATCCCGCGTGTTCGCGTAGAGGACGCCAACCTGGAGACGCTGGGGTCGCTCAAGAAGCAGCTCGTCAACGCCCTCCCAGCGTTCATCGAGGGCGGCCTGTTTCCGATCGACCCGAAGCGAGTGCCGGCTTGCATCAACGGTGAGGTTGAGCTTCCTCTGATCAACGAGTTTTGCACACCTTTCGCAGCCAAGCAAAGGCGTTTCTCTCCAGAAGAACGACGCATGATCAGGGCAGAGATTCAGCAGTTGGTAGACCGAGGAGTGATCCGTCAATCCATGTCTCCGTGGGCTGCCCAGTGCTTGTGCGTTGAGGAGGATGGTAAGCTGCGACTGTGCATCGACTGGCGTGAACTCAACATACTCTTGGTCTCGGATGGTGGGGGTGTGGGTGACATGCAGACGATATTCGACGGGTTGAAGGACAAGAAGTATTGCATTCAGCTAGACCTCGCCTCCGGTTTTCACCAGATGGAAATCGCCGAAAAGACCGTTCCAAGACGGCCTTTCGAGATGCGGATGGTATGCTTTGGGACTTCACTCGCACGGGTTTTGGCCTGACGGTGCTTCGGCGGCCTTCACTCTTAGAGTAAAGTCGGCTTTGGGGCACCTATCGGGCGTGTTTTGCTGACTTGACGACATTCTCATCGCTAGCGACACATGGGAAGAACATCTGGCCACTCTGGCGCTCGTTCTGAACCGCCTTCTGGCTGCGGGGCTGTCCGTGAACTTCGCGAAGAGCATTTTCGGCGCAGCATCACAGGAATTCCTCGGCATGATCATCGACAGCACGGGCCTGTACCCTGCTCCGTCTAAGCTAGATGCAATCGCACGCATGCCTCGCCCACACACCGTAGAAGCGCTGCGCACGTTTTTGGGTCTTGCCGGCTGCGTGCGTCAGTTTTTACCCAACTTCAGTTTGACTGCCGCTCCGCTCACCAACATCCTGCGCAACAAAGCCTTCGCTTCGAAACGTGCACGCAAGCTTCCTATCCCTTGGCCAGCAGCTGAGGAAGACGCCTTCCAGTCTTTACGAGAAACGTTGGCTTCCCCGAATATTCTCGCTTTCCCTGACCTGTTCGAACTACACACAGATGCTAGCACGCTGGGTGTAGGAGCTTCGCTCATGCAGACAATCGATGGTGTCACCAGAGCGGTGGCGTTCGCGAGCCACCGGTTTTCACAAATCGATGCTAGACGCGGGCCCACGGAACGAGAATGCATGGGGGTCCTGTGGGCGGTAGACCACTTCCGGCCGTACCTAGCGGGTAGACGGTTCAAGCTGGTGACAGACTGTTCCGCCCTCACATGGTTGTTCTGAAGCCGTGAACTCTGCCCCAAGCTGCACAGGTGGGCGCTGCGGCTGATGGAGTACGACATGGAGCTGGAATGGAAGGCGGGAGTAGAGCGCGTAGTGCCCAATGCTTTGTCCCGGTTGCCCGTTGCGAACCCTGTAGAGGTCGACGTCGACGATTCGTTTCCGGATAATCTGGTGTCCGCTGCTGCAGGCGCTTCGTTAGAGATCTCTGGACCGGAGTTGAAGGGTGTAAGGCTGGCCGAGTCGGACCCTGTGCAGGTAGACCAAGTAGGCAATGCTGACTCCCACACCTCTCACCACACCCCAGAGGTGGCCGACGTCCGCCTGTCCGCCCTTCGAGCGTTGCCTTTCGCTGCGTGTGCTGCTGCTGACCATGAGCCTGATGCCCCCCGCCGCAGCGGCCGGACCCGTACCCCTTCGGTGCGATTACATCCGATCGGCGACGCGCAGCTGCCCCCGACAAGCGTACTGGAGGCCATCCCACACAGAGAGGCCATCGGCCCCACCACGATGGAATCCTCCGCTCCGGCGCCGTCGCCATCGATACTACCGCCGTCTCCCGTTCGACCTGGCCACGACGACATCGGTGAGGTGCTGGCTGCACGGGGGGAGGTTCCGATGTCCTCGTCGAGCCACGCGATTGGTGGAGCATCAGCCATCGATCTGACAGCACAGGTACTACTCACAAGACCGTCCGAGCTAGTGCATCGGCAACGAAACGACACCCATCTGAGTCAGGTTCGCAAGATTCCGAGCACTGAAGTTGGCTCTAGCCAGGGGGGTAGTGGGTGCGACAGGTATAGCCTAGGCACGGATGATGTGCTTCGGTACAACGATGGGAAGGGAAGAAAACTGCCTGCTATTCCAGTCGCCATGGTAGCTGACATCATTGCGTGGGTACACACGTGAAATGGTCATGCAGGGGTAGGAGCAACGCTTTCCCTTCTGCGCGATTATTTCCACTGGCCCACGATGACGAACGACACTTGAGACTTTGTGTTGTCATGTGCCTGTCGCAGACGCAAGAGACCGCTCAGCAGTCGAGTAGCCATGGTGCCAGGTAGACCGCTTGAGCCGTGGGACGAGTTACCAAGGGTCGGTAGAGAGACTGGGGGGATGACTACAGGAGTTGTTGGCTGAGCTATGTAGGTCCTGGCCTGACCGATGGGATGAGTATGTTTCGTCTGCGATGTGGATCAAACGCAACTTGCCAGACACCTCGCTCCCATCTAATATGACCCGCTTCCAGCTCCTGTTCGGCCGCAAGCCTCGCACGTAGCTGGATTCGTTAGTTCTTCTTACGGACGAGATGGATCAGGAACGGGTACTCGACAACTTCGTGGAGAGGCGCAAGCAAAATCTCCGTGAAGTACGACTCGCCCTCGAGAAACGGCATGAGCTTCGAGTGGCTGCACGCGCGAAAGCCAACGCCTCTATGGAGAGGTCGTCAGCTGGAGTGGGGGTCGTGAAGGGCAGCCTGGTGCTCGTGCGCGAGTCCGAGAGTAGTCGACATCGTGATCAAGGGGAAGAAAGCTGCAACACGATCTCTACACAGGACCGTGGAAAGTGACGGGGGTGATCCAGCCCGGTCTCAGTGTAGAAGTCATGGTGCATGGTAGAAAGCAGCGTAGCCGAAGGGTATCTACGGCCGATGTGAAACCTTTCCACCTCCGAGAACTTCCTTTCCGACACTCGCTAGCCGAAGAGTTCGCCCAGTATGCGTGGGGGCCCGATTTCATATTGCCTCCAGGAGCTAAAGAGAGTTTGGGTCTAGTCACCATCGCCGACTGTCGCAGAGTTCAACCAGCTTCCGGCATGCGAACTGTTTGGGAGTACAAGGGAAAGTCAGGGAACGGTGTTGTGACGGACTGGCTGTCGGAAGAGACCATGCGACGCAGCTTCACACCCCTTCAGTTGGAATGCTTCGTTGCTCTCTGGCACTTGTATTTTCCCCAGCTGGCAAACGTTTCTGCACCCGACTCAGTCAAGCTCCGTACCCCGTTGTCCCGCACCCGAGCCTTGCACGTTTTCCCGATAGGTTATACCTTCCAGAGGGAGTTAGCCGGAGGAATCCTACTTCAGGGTCAGGTGTATGACTACCTTTCCCCCTACTGGCGCGCGCGCTACACTGACGGGACTGGGAGGAGCTGTCCAGACGCGACCTGGAAAGACTTTCGAGATAGTCTTGGGGGGTGGGATTTCGAGCTAGTGCGATTGCCGGACGATGGGGATGCGTGGGGTTAGTGAGACCGTCTGCGGGTGATCATGGATGTCCGTACAAGATTCGGTCTTATGTATGTACCATGCATAATTTTTTACTATTGTTGAGTCTCTTTTGATTCGGTTTTTATGCATTGAGTGCGCCACCCAGTTGAGGTCCGGTAAAGCTTACCTGTTCGGAGACCGTACTTGCCAGATGTCCTCATCTGATTTGCAGGCGAAGGGTGGTCCTGCGTCCGGTAGCACCCACGAAGGTTTGTGTTGTGTGCCAGTCTGGTTTGCAGTCGAAGGGTGGTCCTGTGCCCGATAGCGCCCAAGAGGGTTTGTGCTGTTGTGCCGTGGCATCTGATTGGGTTTGGTGTTGTAGGTGCTTTGCGCAATGGGCTTTTTCCTGGGTGGCCAGGTTTTTCCCGCGCTGTAGGTGTTGAGAGCCGGACTGCAACTACAGTGAATTCACCAAGCGAGGGACATTTTTTTTGTTAAGAGTATTTTACGTCCGAGTGTCACTTGGTGTTTTCGGTTGTTGAGTCTAAATTCTAGGGCTCTCGGGATGGGGAGCGAAGGGTTTGTCCCGGAGGCCGGGTTTTCCTTCGCGCCAAGTCGATGTCGGGCCGTGGTTCAACGCGCAGTGAGAATCATGAAGAGGAGTGGATTTTATTTGGGTTTTAACACTATTCACGCCTTGTAATTTTCGGTTGAATGTTCAGCCCACTCAAAGACATTGCATGGTAGTGTTCCAAAGGCAAGTGTGTCACTTTGCGGTTTGCACATTTCCTGCTACCGTTTATTAGCATGTGACAGCTGACAAATAGCTGTTCATGCTAATGGGGGGATGTTACGGTTACATTGTTACGGTTGATAGGAGTTGCACCTTTGGGAGAATGCGTTATTCCCAACAGGTACTAGCAGTAAGGTCCGGTTTGCCGGGTCCCGTCTAGAGGCTAGATTGCTCAGTCCTCTTGCCTTCACTTGACGTCTCCATGCTTATTCTCCTTGCTTGCCCTGAGTTAGCAACAATGAACAAGCGAATACCGTATCAACGACCGGAGGCCTTCTACTCCTTATCACAAGCCACCTTCGAGGCTCACTACTACCTCTGTTCCGGCTCATCTACCGAACTCGGTACGGATCGAGAGGCAGCTAACATCAGGTCGGTAGCAGTGCTTGTAGGCTGGGGTCCCATGTACAATCCTCTCTGGACAATTCCTCTTGACACCCAGGGTCCTGCCACTTGAATGGCTAGAGACCACACAGACCCACATAGACATCGGACCAGCCCCTATCCCGAGCCTTTCCACCCGTTTTAGACCTCCCGCAGTCTCAACACACCGCCGTTTTTCATGGTCGCAAAAATCGCCGCCGTGTGTGCTTGTTATTTGTCCGTTTCACAGGCTTCGAAAGAGCAGCAGTACGCCGGCGAGATCAGCACCCACTTTGCAGTTCTCCTGCAGGTGGGAGATGGCCGCTGCTTGATTCTCGAGCGCCGGGGGGAGGGCGGTGTGACCGCTTCCGATGTCCACCCCTCCCAGGTAAAG